TTAATACATTTTCTCCAAGATAGTATAAATATATAAAATATATATTTTATAAATATATAAAAGTATAATTAATAGCTTCTCCAAGAGGAAAAGCCTTTAGGGTTTTGTCTGTTGGTTTTAGCTTTTAAGAAACTTGAACTTTCTATGGAGAGAAATGATGCTCTGTGCAGAGGTTTCTCTTTTTACCACTCGCTAAATCATTTTCCTTTAATTGACTTTTAAAACTCTACCTACCAAGAAAGGATAATATGGAAGAAAATTCTATGGCCAATGAAAGGAATTAGGCCATCCAAGGCTAAGATGTATTGAGATGCAGACTCAACCAGGGAGCTTTCTGGGGTTTGACTAATTACATTTGTTTGTTAATCCTAGTAGGAAACTTGGCTGTTAACTAATAGAAGAGCCAGTACTGTAGCCCTCTTATTAGTGAGGGATATCTTCTAAGACCCCCAGTGGAAGCCTGAAACCTCAGATAATACCAAACCCTATATATACTATGTTTTTTCCAATCATACATATATATACACACACACACACACACACACACACACACACACACACACAAAGTATAATCTATAAAGTAGAAACAGTAAGGGATTAATAATAAAAACTAATAATGAAATGGAACAATTATAGCAATATACTATAAAAAAAGTTATGTGAATATGATCATTCTCTTTCTTTCTCAAAATATTTTATGGTATTGTATTCACCCTTCTTGTGATGGTGTGAGATGATAAAATGCCTAGGTGAGATGAAGTCAGGTGAATGACCTAGGCAATGTGACAGCATTAGGCTCCTTCTGATGTATCCTCAGAAGGACGGTCATCTGCTTTGGGTGATCCTGGGTCACTAAGCCATGAGGACATCAATGGTTGGATGTCAGGAGCTGGTGATTTCGATGACTAACAGGTGGGCAGCGTATGTAGTGTGGATATGCTGGACAAAGGGATGATTCATGTCTTGGGTAGGAGGAACGAGATTTCGTCACGGGGAAAGTGCAAATTAAAACTATGTCGAGATAGCTCTTCACATAAACTACAGTAGCTAAAATTAGAAAGACATAGCACCAAATGATGATAAGAATGTGGAATAACTGGAACCCGCCATATATTACTGATGGCAGTGTAAAATGGTACCACCAGTTTCTAAAGTGTGAAGTGCTACAAACACTTCAGTGTATACCTTTGCCAAACTCAAAAATTGGATACTAAAGATCTTTCACTGTATATTTCACTGTATATAATTTTTCTTTGAAAAAAGAATAGGTTTTAATCTTTAAAATGCATTGATATATCACTATATCCTATAATATCCCTCCTTTCCTCCCTCTCCCCCTCCCTCCTGGCTTCCCCTCCTCCCTACATTTCTCCCACCTTTTTGTTTTTGTTTTGCGCTTTCCTATGCCAGATTGTTTTAGGGACTGGCAACTAATGCAAAGATGAATCCAACAAGTTGAGTTCTTGTACTCTGGGAATGAGTCCACAATGGGAGTCAAACATGCCAGTCACATAGCTGTAGCAATGTGAAACATGCCGTAAAGCACAGAGGAGCTGCCCATCCCAGCAAAGTCAGGATAGGCCACCTGGAGGGAATAGTAGATCCCTTGTAAAAGCTTGGAGGCATAGGATTGCTCCTTAGACTTGGTGGGAAGGGCTGTTTGGAAAAGGGCAACAGCATGTGCAAAGTTCAAGAAGTTGGCAACTTGTGATCAGGAATGCTAGATGGTATCACTGTTGGAGGAGGGGAGGGAGGTGGAGCGGGGGCAGGTCAGCAAAAGCCATGTCATGAGGAGCCTTTACCTGCAGAGGAATTTGAACTTTATCTTGAAAAGAAAGGGAAATGCTAAAGCCTTCTATCATCTTGTCTTCCTAGCTAGATTATAAATTCCTTGAAATCAGAGTCTGTTATTCATCTTTGTATTCTTTACAATGTCTGGCCCTGGTCCTGGAATGGGTAGGACAGCAAGTAAGTGTTGATTGATCTCTTAAGGCTGTGATAGTCTCTGAGAATCTTGCATGCTCGATTCAGCATATTATTGCAATAGAATGAGTCAGAGCAGAGACACTTTTGGAATGGAGGGGTGGGGGTCTTCTTATACTCCAGGCATTGTGCCTAGGAGGCACTCCCAATTATTACCTAATTTAACGTATGTCATTCTCCTGACTCAGGATCCACCAATGACCTTTCATTGCTCTTAGTATAAAGAACAAAGTTCACAGTCGCTTTCAAGGCTGGTGGTCACTGTCTGCAGTGCTTTCTACCTGTTTCATTCCTATTTATCTCTAAGTGCTCCTTTACTCCGTGGTTAAACCCTCACTGTTCCCCCTTTCCCTACAATAAGTGGGCTCTCAAAACTCAGCTTAATGTGTGATTGTGCCTGGGTTAGTATGATTATTAGATTTCCCTTTTGCTGGCACTAGGATATGAGCTCTGTGATACCTCTTTGTCCCCTGCACCTATCAGAATGCCTAGAATTTAGTAGATACTGGAAAAAAAAAATGTTTTTTGATTGCATGAATGAATCCTTGAGGTAACTGTCAGGAGTATGTTATTACTTTGCCTTCCGATGAAGAAATTAAAATTCAGAGTAACCTCTTATCCAAGGTTACATAACCCATAAAGTCCAGACCTGGAACTCAGGGATGTCTGACAACAACCCCCTAACATTTTTAACATGTTTAATGGAATTATCTGTAAAAATCCTGCATTCATTCCCTGGTTGTTCATTGTGTTTAAATTCTTAATAGTTTCTTGTGATTAGGGTATAATATTGTGTGTTTGTATTTAGTGACTTAACTATTTACCTTGCTCTTAAAAGAAAATAGCAAGTGATTGTGTTTAAATGATGAAATAACAACAGTATAGTTACTACCCTTGTGCCAGGCATTGATGCAAGTTTAGTTGACGTTGCCAATTCTCACAGTAGCTTTGCAAGAGAAATCATGTGCCCCTCCTGGAAGTGAGGAAGTAGAGGTTTAACGAGATTAAGAACTTCCCCAGCTGAAGCAGGCTTGGTGGCCTGTAATCCCAGCTATTTGGGAGGCTGAGGCTGGAGGAATGCTGAAACCCGGGACTTCGGGGCTGGAGTGAGTTATGATCATGCCTGTAAATAGCCGCTGCACTCCAGCCTAGGCCACAAAGTGAGACCCTGTCTCTTACAAAAAAATAAGAACTTCCCCAGGGAAGCTAGCATGTATTAGGTCGTAGCTAGGCCCTGAAAGTGTGGGTGTTGACAAGACAGTGTGTGTGTGAGGGAATAACTAGAACCAAGCCTGGCAAAGTAAGTTGAGGTTATAAATGGAAGACCTCAGAAGACAGGCTGAGGAAGAGATGATTAATTTGTAGGCAATGTGAAACCAATGAGGTTTTTTGAACTGGGAACTCAGTACAGCACAGGTGCTCTATTTTTAAGGCAGTGTGGTTCCTACCAGCAGCATCAGCCACACCTGGGAACTTATTAGAAATGCAGATTCGTATACAGCCCCTGACCAGTTCAATCCTCAGCGCTGGCAATGGGTGATTGAAGGAGCACTCCAGGTGATTCTGGTGCTCGCTCAGGTTTGAGATCCATTGCCTTAGGAGAATTCTGGCTTTTCCCAGTGGAAAGAATTAGAAAGGCAAGGAAGAACAGTGGGAAGCTGTTGCCAGAAACCAAAGAAGAGGTTATGAGGGCATAAATAAGTGTGGGGAATGAAACAATGGGAAAAATGAGATTTTTTCAAGAAAGAAATAATAGGATTTGAGGATTAAATGGAGGTGGCAGTGTAAGATGCGAAGCCAGTATTCTAAGCCTGCATGTGCACAAGTGTGGCAGAACTGCAGATATCCACAAAAGCCAGTCAGAGGAGTAACTGGTTTATACTCCTCAGGGGTCTAAACCTTATTGTGCTTTAATTTATTGCTTTTAAAAAAATCTTATTCACACCCAGCAATCTACCAGCCTCAACTAGTTAACTTTCTCTATGGGAATAAAAATTGGTTAGATGCTCAATACCAATAATACCATCAACTGTGGCTTGAGTTCTTATAAAATACCAAGAACTTTTCTCTAAACACTTTATATTTATTATCCTATTATTGTTATTCATTAATTATGAATGTTTATAAATTCCCTTCCTTTTGGGTTCAGTCTAAGCTGTACACCACTATAAAATTAATGTTTCCAAGCACTGATCTGAGAGGCCAAGAGCATGGACTCTGGAGTCAGCACTGGGCTTAAAACCCAGCCTCATCATTTACCAGGTATGCAGTCTTGAGCAAGTGACTTGTCCAATCTTCAGCCTAAATGTCCCACAGCTGTGTTATAATATGGATGTAATAATGAGTGGGCCTCTTAGGGGTTGTTATGAGAACTACAGGTAAATGAGAAAATGCTTGCACGTAAAGTGCTTAGTAAACATTAGTCAAGATTTATGCAATGAGGGTGTCTCTCCCTTGCTCAAAACTTCACTGGCTCACCTTGTTGAAGAGAATAAACTCCTTAGTCTGGCATTTAAGGCTTTCCACAAACTGGTGACTCCCTACCTCTCAAAGCTTTTATCTGATGATCCTTTGCATCAACTCAGTGTTTTGCCTAACTGGCTGCTGTTCCCCAAACACAGCAGGTCTCTCACCAGAGCCCAGCCTTTGCTCCCCGTCTCATGGTGTCCAAGTCCTTCATGGCCTAGCCTGGGAGTCAGTGTATGTGAAGCCACCTCCAGCAAACCCTCATCTTTACTACTCAAGGGACCCTGTATAGCCATAGGTAGCAGCTCAGGATAATGCTGCCAGTGCCTTTGGTAACTGTAGGGCTGTGCTAATGCTGAGCCCCCTGCTGGGGACTTGCTTTCTTAGTGGTAGCAAGTTGCACCTTAACTTAGCTTCTTTATCTCTTTCAAGTTCATTTAAATAAGTATTGGTGGGGTTTTTTTTTTTTTCTCTCCTTGATGATAATGATAACTTTCCCCATAGGAATAACATTTAACCTATGAAACACTAATTATTTTCTTTCTTCTCAGGATGAACTTGACCTCACAGACAAACACAGGGAAGCTATGTTTGCACTTCCAGCTGAGAAAAAATGGCAAATATATTGTAGCAAGAAAAAGGTAAGATATTCCCTTGTGATTACAGTTAACCAGAAAATTATCATTTTCGATTCCCTTTGGTCTCCCATTTCACCACCAGAATGCAGACAGCTCTTTTTGACGTGAAAACCAGATCGAAGGTGTCGTGTTGTGGCTGTGATGTTACGTGTAGCAAAGTGCCAGTTCCTTGTACGTTGTGCTCATCACCACTTCATCGGACCCCCTGCACTTACAACTGTTGTTCATAATCGTGTGTGACTGAGCCCCAAATTAACATTGGCTTACACAAGACAAAGGTCCTCTCTTCCCACTGTTCTTTACATAAAAGTTTGTGTTCAGGTGGGTTAGGACAAGTATTGTGGGTTCACAGCCCCCGTGGCCACCTTCTAACAACTTTCCATTTGCCATCGCTCAGGTGTGGCCTTGTCCCTGTGCTCCAAGATGGTTCTCCAGCCATTTCACATTCCAAACTAAGGATGGGGAAAGGGAAAGAAGACACAAACTCCCCCAGCTTCACTTTTAGGACCATGTTCCAGGAGTTAGACACGTGATTTCCCCTCACATCCCACTGTTAGTTATATGGCCAGTGTGGGGTGTCCACTGCAAGGAACAAAATCTTTATTCTGGACAGTCACTTCCCACTTAGAAACTGGGTGTTCTGTTGCCTCATGAGATGGGAGAATGGATATTGGGGACAGTGAAAAAACCAAAAGCTCTTGTTCCCTAGCATCCATGGTGTCAGGCGTCACTCCAAGGTGACTGTCTCCTGATATAAAGTTCACTCTGCCATCTTTTAGACCCCATGCCAGATTCTTGGGCTGTCCATATACCCATTTGGGCGACTAATTCTGTTGATGGCCACCTTTTGCTGCTTCCCCTTCTGTCCCAATAGAGCTGTACCTGAGATGTGACACGTGGGAGGCAGGGCCAGCGCCCAAGAGTGAGGCTGCCTCTCTGCAGCAGGCAACAGACGCTTGGATTGCTCACTCGTGACCCAGGGAGAGAGGAACAAACCATAGCAGTCCAGTATCTTTTCAAGACACCAATGTCAGTCAGGGTAACCTTTAATTAGGTGCCCAGTATGCAGTTGGGGCCCTCCATTTGCCCCCATAGCATCTCAGCACCTCTGCCCCCTCTTTGCTGCCTTGTATAATGGACGTGCCACCCTCTCAGGAGCACCTGTTAGTAAAGGTTCCCTCCCCATCCCCCTTTTCCCTGGCAGCCTGTGTGTGTGGCCCTCCCACCTGGCTTTATGCCTCTGGTGGTGAGGTGCCAGGTCTTAATTCATCTTCGTAACTCCTGCATCTGATACTTTGACATGAATTTATTGTGACTGAACCACTGAACTGTCATTAATGTTATACTCAATACTGTCAAAAAATGTAAAGTATGTAAATTTCCCACCTGAGCAGTTGTAATTGGTGACACAGGTATCAGATTCGGTTCTGGTGGTCTTTGCTGAGAGACGTGTTTAGCTAGGACCTCTCACTGTGATCTCTGAGCCTTTATCAGATCAGCCCAAATTGAAGCCTTAAGGATTCTTAATCCAGTAAGATGTTTTTGAGAAATAAATGGCTTCTTCTCCTGTTATGTTCTTTCACTTTGCATATGTCTTACCAGCCAGAAAACTTCTCTTTTGCTGAACTAATTGTCATGGCTCAACAAAGACATATAATAGACTGGGAAAGAATTTTAAAATGAACATAAAATGTGTTCAGTACTGAAACCGATGGTATTGTATGGTCTTTGGAAACAAGGGAACCCTTCTCACTGCCATCTGAAAACCCCACAGCTAGAACTGAGAAAGCGAAATCCTCAAGTGTCTGTGTACACAGAGGACATTGTCTATTTTGGCTTATCCTAGTGTAGATTTTTTTTCTCAGAATTAGGAAACAATGCACGGTAGGGATTAAGAATATTCACTAGAGGAAAGAAAAGGGCAGGAAAATGGGAGCAGCTTACTGAGGGGAAAGTTTTCTTCTTTCCCAGATTTTATTACACCCTTGACAGCAATTGAAAGTTAATCATGGAAACTACTGCCCCTTAGATTAGAAAATGCAAACCCTGGGGGGATAGTAATGAACTTGGGCTTGCAGCTGCTGCTCATTTTTCAATTTCCAGGCCCTTCAGTCCACTTCCAAACCCCCTCTCAAGTGTGCATGATGGGCTGGCTTTTTGTGGGAGGATGGATATGGGTATAGCCACTGGCCTCAGAATCCCATTTTTTGACAGATGGGCCCTTCTTGCTAGTATGTGGCAAGGTGGCACAGATCTTAGGGAATGTATTCATATTTTTGCTAGCTTCATTCCAACAGCTTGGATTCTTTATGTGACTTAGCAATAGCATGGCTGAGTGGGAAAGCCATTTTAACTCTTTGAGGAATCCCAGGAGCTTATAGATCCGCCTCACTTTAAAGTGGACGGTAGCATTGCTTGACTAAGGATTAGATGCTTGATTAGAGATCCTAACACTGTTAAAACTTTACTGTGCCTTTGGTCCGAAACTGGACTTTTTGGGCACTGCAATAAATTGGGAAAGACACAATGAATATGAGGATACAAAAACCTAACCAGGAAAATGATGATGTTAAACCTCTCTTCAGAGGATGTGATTCCTAAGGGACCAGTTGCCCATTCTCAGAATGGAGCCCCATGGTGGCCATCCTCAATATTAAGAACAGATTATTTTCCTTGGAACATCTTTTGTGTAGCCTTTTCAAATCAGGTTTATCACAAATCGGGCCAAACCACATCCATTTCTCAGGCCAAGGGAAAGCTACTCTCCGTGGCTCCTTCAGATTTTCCATCTTTCAAGATTAGAACCCAGGGCATTACAGACGTTCTCACACATAGTGAAGCCGTAAAGGGCCCGCTGAAGCCAACAGAAACAGACAGCCTGAGTTGGTGAAAAGCAAGCTTTTCATATAAAAATGAACAGAAGTTGTGGAGGCAAATGAGACTGGGACCCGAGGACAGGGCCAAGCTTTGCTCAGCCAAGTGGCTTTTTCCCATCCGGCAGTGACTTGAGTCCCAGCAGCCGCTTTCTGCTTATCAAGCTCTGTGTTCATTTGTGAAATGTCTCTATCTTAAGTCTTTGGTTGAAAACCCATTTCCAGAGCCAAAATAAAGGCAGCAAAAGTATTTCTGGGGCTAAAATGATTGGAAAGAAATAAGTTGGAGCTTTGCCTAATTGAGTAATCTGGGGGAGAATAAGAGATGGATGTTGTGGCCTTGTTGAAAGTCCAAACAAATCTGTGAAAGTTACTGGGCTGGTTGGTCAGCCATGATTCATCACAGACGGCAATCCACTGTCAAATTTTTTAACTTTCGTGAAAGGTCCAAAAAAGATTCTGTTGGTGAGGCTGGGGGGTATTTTCAAATAGGAAATGTTTGTGGTTCTTATCTTTAAAGGTAATTCCCTTTTTAGTTCCAATCACAACATACTCTTTTGTTTAAATGAGGTTTTTCCCAGTCTCCAGCCAGAAACTGCATCTGTTAACAATCTTTTGGATTTTAAACTGAAGCTTTTTAAACAATGAACCATCTGACCACGAAAGGCATCTGGCCATGCTGTATTTGCTTATTGTTAACATGATTTTTAAATCCTGGGAAAAGTAAGAAGTAGGTCTTCAGAGAGGAGAAAATAAAGTGGCATATACACTGTATTATGCCGACAGCAATCATATCAGCACAGGAAGAAACCTTCTTTAATTGCTGTTCTGCCCAGGAACAAATGTGCTAGTTGTATCACTTAACCAGTCCTTATAAGTAAGTATCCAGAAAATACTTTCACCTCTTATTGGACTTCAGAGTTTGCAAAGTAAGTGAATAGGATGATAGATACTGTTAGCTGTAGTGACATCAGATATTTAAAACAAAGATCAGGATTTCATGGCTGTGCCTGATTTTTGCTGCTTTGCTTTTGACCTCTAAAGCCAAGGATTAAGTAAATGGTATTAGATTCTTCATATTACATTTCTGTATGTTTTGAGATCTACTTTAGGGAAGGTAAATTTTTTATTCTGCTTGTGAGTGTATGTTTGATTCTAGCTTAGTTAAATCATTCAAGAATCTTGCCTATCCCAGCTGTGAGTCAGCTACTGTGATAGTTACAAACTGCTGATCTGGTGCTAGGTACATTTTGAAGACATCTAGGGAAGGTGGCTGAAAATTCAACTAGTGTTTTTCATTCATTCCTTTATTTGGTTTGTGTGTCCTAATTGGATCAATTCCTCACTTCTCCCCACAAAAAGAAATTCTCCTTTCACCACACACATACACACACACACACACACACACACACAGATTAAAGTTGTGTTGTGTGTGATCATCAGGATGCAGTTCTTTCAGTTCAGGCCCTCCTGTGTTTGTAGTGCAAGGAGGGAGTGGTTTGATCAAAACAGAAATATAAAGGAACATATGCTAAAGTAGTGGAATTAAAGACAAAGAAACTATCAGTTTTCTACACAACTGTCAAACAAAGCAGCTGGAACATGAAGAGGTGTGATGAGACATCAGTCCTCTAGCTGTTCCCAGTGCCCTAATGAGAAGCTACTGTGGGTAGACTGAGAAGAGAGGCAGTGGCCGGACATTGGGCCTGAAGATCTGAGAGGGAAAAGAAGTTAGAGGTCCTCTTCTCTCTTTTACTGGGGTTGATTAAATACACAGTAGAATGAGCATTGGATTTTCAGGGACCCACTTTGTTAGATGTCAAGATTTGGGGGAAGAAGCCAGTAAAAGGGAGAAAACTAGGCTTCTGTGACTATTTTTAGACTTCTTTAGGAGTACCTGGTTTGGTCTCCTGCCATTGAGTTTTCAATTCGATGATGGGTTCAAATTGGCATTTGTGCTCTTATGTGATTTGTGCTCTTATTTGTGCTCTGCCACAGAAAATGGCAGAAGCAGTAATAATTAGAAATGAAATTTGTCTATTTGTCCCTCCTACCTATCTAAAGACCACATAAGGGAAGCACAGTAGCCGCAAGACAACCAGGATCTCTAGACTCTGCGGGCTCTGAAAC